TGTGTAAGCGACACATAAAATAAACAAATTACTAAAACCATCTAATCGCTATTTTTCAATTTGGTGACGCCATATTGAAAGATGTATATATTTCTATGCCTGATAGTATTACTGACGTCACCAACGCCTAGAATGTTTCTGAAATAACTTTCCGATCCAAGTAATAAATTCCGTCGCAAATACATAAAGGTATGTTAAGGGAATAGATATGTGCGTGGCTTGGGATACTGAATTTTGATTGCATTTTCGTTTTATTTATGCTTTATATGATTTATAGTTAAGATTACACACCATGGGATTTAATACAGTATTCTCAAGGGATACATACATTATAGGCAGTATTAATTCTCATATGTATGTATATTTGATAAGATTTTAAAGATAGAGTGTGGGTGGGGGTAATTAATATGGTAAAGCAGGTAATAAGAACAGGTGAAACCACTTGGTTACAAACTAAAGACAAGATGCTAATAACTGTCATGTAACCAATTGCTTAACAAGTACCTCTTTATCTAATGGCCATCTCTGTTATTGTTTCATTGATCAGCTTTTTATTTGATTGTTTGCCATAACAATTCGTCATTGGCATTCAATGGTTGGACAAGTGGTCTCCTTTAAGAGCTACGATGGGGTATGATGAGCTATTCGCTAAGAGTTCAATACCAGTACCTCGTCTAGAATGATAATAATCACCTGAACAGTTGCCTAACAAGTCGTTATTTAAATGGTGACAGGGTGTTCGTATTGTTTGCGACCGGGGGTCGTCATTTGTAGACGGTTACGAAACAGAATCAAATGAAACCTTCTCAAATAACGTCTTAGTGCAACTGTAACAATAGTGACACAAAATGAACAGGTTTTTTTAGGCTAGGTCGATCCTCTCTTCTTTTCGGATTTACCATTGATACCATTACTAAATCGTTTAGTTTAAAAGCGGTATTACCATTGAAGAAGTTTTGTATCGTGCTGAAAAGAATGACAGATCTCGGGCAAATAATCAGCCAGCAATGGGAGGACATCTGTCCAGGGTTAAACCACAATAATACATCAATTCATGGCCAGTGGATTAGACTTTAATCCGGCTTATTAACTAGATACAAATACTCACAAATGAACCGTGATATGATGCGCGGGAAAATGATAAGCAAGCTGAATATGGGCGTTATCACCAGCGATATTAGATACAAATGGGAATTCTTTTACATCATCGCCGCATCTTTGATTCACTGAGTTGATTTTCATAGTCAACGAGCTATTAATAAATTATTTATTTGAAATATGTCTTATTAATTGTAAAGAAAGTGCAATTATAAAAGGATCTGAACATTATTCCATTTGTTAATGAGGTTTTCGAAATCTTCAATTGACTTTTGATCCGTTCCATAATTTGTAATTAAGTTTATTTACGTTTCTATTGTATTGTGTGTATGTGTGTGTGTGTGGAGGGGGGGGGGGGGTAATATAAGGATAAACATTATTACAAATCTCCATTTCGAAAAATCACAACACGAAATTCGTAATTTAGAATTTAGAAAAAGATCTGAATATTGACATCCGTACATCGTTCACACTGTTATTGCTATTTCCAAATTATTCCCGGTTTTCTTAAAGACAATGGAAAAGAACAAAAAGGATGGGTTCAGAGAAGATCCCTGGGAAGCACATTCTTCATTTAACTTGATAATGAATGTTTGCAACATATAACTTTAAAACATTACTAATATTTGAAAATATGTCACATATTTATTTATTTAAATTCAATTCATATTACAGCATTTAGGAGTCGACGCTTCAGATATAATCTTGGTATATGTGGGAATTACCCTACAGACAAATAAATAAACATGTCTGTCACCGCATGCATCACTCTACAGTTACATGGCTATAGCTAAAACATCCTAGTAGATATATTTACGTATCCTTCACGATTGATATAGAAATAGAAGTACGGGTTGGTAATCCCCTGAGATATTCCTTCTTAACGAAATGTGTCTGGGGGAATAACTATTGAATCCCTTACAGCTGCAGATTAACACATCGTATATATAGATAAATTTATTGTCTTTGCTACTGATAATGAATCCTCTTGTTGCAGACAAAAATATATATATCATGTTCGCTAGGATTAAAAGCGATTGTTCCTTTGCTACAAAACTGAACCCTTGTCGATTTGTATAGCCCTTATAACTTAAGAAATGGGTTTTATTGTAGGTCTATACATCTTGGCATATGCTATCAAAATTCCTTAAGACGCCGAGAGAAAAAGCATTTGCTAAAAGTATAATTGCTTTTCACTCCTTTACAGTTTTAATTTATTTGTTCTGTCATTTAGGAAGGATTATTGTTACTCTTCTATTGCTGAAAGTGTAGTATTGATGTGTTTAATATAGACCAAGATATTAGAAGAAGGGCTATAAATAAAAACTAAGTAAATTGTGGGTTGAGTGTTCAACAATAGATCTAGTATTGATACGTGTGTTTTTAATTGACAGGATTGAAATAGACACCAATGAGTGAAATCTACCGTTAAATAATGAATAGAAATAAGAAACACTTTAGTTTCTTGAAATGATAATAAGCTATGCACGTATTCAGTTGTTTTCTTCGATGTGTATCATTTTATTTCATTGAATCGGGTGGGTAAAATAAAAAGTGTTGCGTCCAAGGACTAGTCATGGATGGAGGAAAGGCTGTACTGGTATAGCTCTCAATACCAGACATGTAGAAGTGGGAAATTGGAGTATTCCTGAAAGTCATTAATCCCTATAACCTTACTGCATTGTTCAAGGGACAACTACTTTTACATCGACACAGGAGGAAAACAGATTAAATGCTCAAACTGTTTTGCATAGATGAATTAAACGAGGTCCCGAAAATGGTCTACAGGCACCATGTACCTAAATGTCGAATAAAAATGTTTCTAACGGTCGTGGTTGGTTTGTGAACTATTCCATGTGATGGTTGGTACTCGGATTTCAGAAGAGTAGGGTTTCCTCCCACTGCTAAAGACCCCTACGCGCAAGCGTATTATTGAAATAAAATTAAAACCATATGTTAGTCCCGAAATGACCTAGCCTGTGTCGAGTGGACGTTAAACCCCATTTCTCTCTCTCTCTCTCTCTCTCGGATTTCAGAACCAGAAAACTCTTGGTAAGGAAGGTATCCCCAAGGCAATGATCACAATTATCAAATGGCATGTACAATTGAAATGTTGATAAACTGAGCACGTGTATTTCTAATTGAACATTAACAGTAGTAATAAATATAAGTATATAATCACGTGTTTTATCATTCAGGCTTTATTGAAATGATTGACGTATTAAAATGATTGACATGTCATAATTTGATGAATTGACTTGTCAGTATGATTTCTACAAACAGTAATTATAGAGATTATCTCCAGTCATTACAGAATACTGATAACATCAATTAATGTGTTAATCACGTTGATAATCGTTATACTGATGAAAAGATGCGATAAGGATGAAGAAAGAGATTACAAACAGTTGAAATGTACAACGTGGACATGAAATATGGGTTTTACATGCTTTTACTGATAAAGATACCAGGCGTTCAATTAAACTCTTTATCTCGTGGATTGAGATGCACTTTACATTAGAGCCATTTACAATAATTCCGCAATAAATTAGAAGCCATGCCATCCAGTCATTGCACTATAGGTCTTCTTGATCATTGTGATTCTTTAAAGGAAATAGAATGTGGTCTAATGTCTCATCAACACAGGACTTTGGGCATTTTGAGACGAACGTGTGGCATTTCTTATTTGTATGGTGAGCTATGCGGTGTATGAGAATTTGGGGCGGACAGTTGTGTTTCCGCCTTTTTTTTTTCATTTCAAACTGTAAAGGGTTCTTTCTTTTACGTCCACGCCAATGTGTACACGAGTGGACTTCGGTTTTTCCGTTCCTTCCAAACAACTATGCACACTCTCTTGTCAGCTTCGCCTACTCCACGCATGATAGGTGAAGGCCGATGGTTCTTATTGGTTCAAGTGAAATGGAATGAAATGAAATGGGGTTTAACGTCTTACTATTCTGCTCCGTACAGGACTAATGAAGACGGGCATATGCCATACAGTGTGCCTACTCTTATATCGAATTCCAACTGCCAAGGGATCTTTTACGTGCAAGCCAATGTTTACACGGGACTCGGTTTTTCGTCCCATCCGAACCACTAGACAGCCGTCCTGCATCACAATATTGGTTCAATACAGGATTCAAACTGGTGAAACTGTGCCGAGTGGTCAGTACCCTAACCATTCGACTACCACATAGCACCCGATACTTCAGGAAACATAGTATGGTTTCTTTATATGACGTAACACCTACAATATCGCTGCTCTGGTAATAATGAACACATAGTATAAATATATAAAGACAAAAAATCTAATATCAAAATGTTATTTTTCTTACATTTTTAGAGGGTTATTTGGTAATATTGTTATTGAAAAGTACTTTATATTTTTGTCTTATTTGCTGTTCTTTGTCCCAGAAAATAGTTTGTGGTGGAATACTTAAATTCATATCTACAGCAATTTAGAAGATCGAATCAATAATTGTTTAAAATTGAAGCCAAAAAGGACAAACACTTTAAAAAAATTGAATCCTAATGAAGGACAATTAGGTCTAATTTGTACGATAAATGTTTAGCACTTTCTCCTAATGATTAATCAACGGTTCAAAGACCAGTCCCACATCTGTGTAGATTTCAATCAAGGCTTTCTGACACCTGCTTTACTTATGGTATATTATAAGATATCGTTGTCAAACCTCCTTTCAATCAAGCCCATTAACAACGTCACTCACAATAACACTTCACGCCTGTGGATTTCCACGGGCATTGATTGGTCGAACGCTGAAAAAAGAGGTGGAGCTACATTTATTATGATGCACGCATGAAATCTATATCGTGTCCAGGATGGATTCCTTTATTGTGTTAAATTCATTCAAAACATTGGAATATTTTGCTATATAGTATATTAGTATATAAGTATAATGCTATCTATTCATGTGATTAATTAGAGAGTTAAATTAGCTATCTACATATCACAGGGACTTGTTACCTAAGGCTGGAAATTTCACGCTTTTTAAAGGGTAAGTTTAATTTTCCACTATAAGAAATTGAATGGCCTATCCTTATTCAGTTGTGAAATCTTGAAAGAAAATATTGTTCCCTTTGTTTTGGAAATCTATCATTCTTTAAAGGAATTCTAATCTGTTTTTCATGCCTGATTATGTCTTGTTTAAGTCCAGCTGTATTCTGCCCAAGCCACAATTTTCTTGTCTTGACAGAAATATATCTTGACAAGTCCAGATAAGAAAGTATTAATAAGACATAGTTATATAGATATAGATAATGATGCCGATTTTCTTACAAAAGTTCTTCTACATGGTCATTTCTAATCTGACTTTTATTTATATCTTTCACTTTACCATTTCCCAAATTTGACTTCCACTTATTCATAAATTTTTCGAATTCGATATTCAATTATTTATTACATGTATTATTAATCTTTTGTCTAATTTGACTTATATTTCAAGCTTGCACTTTCACGTATCCATCTATTCTCTAATTTGACTTTTATTTGAAGCTTTCACGCGTCCATCAATTCTCTAATTTGACTTTCGTCTGGATTTGGCATTTTTTTCTTTTACTCGACATTCTTCAAGGACAGCTTACATTTTTCATGTTTTCTCGAATTCAATGTTCATTTATCTCTTATTATATTACACATTTCTACAGTTTCACATTTATTTGTATACAGAGTATTAGTCATTTACATTTGGTCATCTAGTTATTGACTTGTGTTATTCACCTTTTCTACTTTAACTTTTATCTACACCCTTATTCATTTTCCCTCTAACTGTGTACATATCTTACACATATTTATATCTTACACTTATTCATTTTCCCTCTAATTTGAAAAGAACCATAATCATGTATTTTGATAAGGTTCATTTTTCCAATAAGTATTTTGCGTTGTCGAAAGATTTTTAGCTGTTTTTACCTCCTTGAACACTGTCTCTAATATACATGTAATGTGAGTCCAGATTTATTTGTGGAATCATGTTGCACATGGAAAGTTAGGAGTTGCTATGTTAATCTTAATAAAATACTACATAGTTACATTATATTAATTTACTCACACTACATCTAGAGACTAACTATTTCAACAAGTACTCACTGTCAAACACACAACGGCAACACTCAATAGGTACAGCCCATGTTATGGGAGATTCTTTATGTCAATGAAAAGAAATCTTCAACAGCAATTTGGCATTGATCTAAGCGACTGGACAAACACGAGAACTCGGAATGAAAATTATATCTTTATGGGGTTTCAACACTTTATTGAAACTCAACCATGTCAAATATTGACTTTTTATTATACAGAAATATTAATAATAGTCAAATATACATAAATGTATGCAAATTTCTAGTATTGGTTGAGATGAAGACAAATACTTGAAATTCTATGATGTATAAGTGATATTGCATGTTCTATATAACTTGTCCTTACTTTGATTTCCATATGGCTGAGAACTGTAACCTTGATGTCTCATTATCATCAATTAAACCAATTACACGTCATTTATTTCACACGTAATTTTATTACGATATAGATTAATATTTACACCATTTTGTCTACTATTGCGTAAAAAGCGGGTTAACACCTTAAAAATCAACTTTGCATCATCGTTCAGCGCGAAATTAAATTTTATCATTGAAAAACTTGAAATAGATGGGAATTGGTATCTTGTTTAACACGGGAAACCTAACATATTCTAAATGTACGTATTTTTGTAACAAAAAAAGAAAAGATTATCATTCACTTGAAAAATATAAATATTTGTTTTATTCTACTGAATTTCGCCTAAATATTGTACTATTTAGAGATTTAATATCAACAAATTCGTGAATTAAACTTATCAATGTTTTGAATAACTCCCAAAATGACGTTAACAGGAGGAACTAATTAGTGTGCCAATTCTGTGTATTTTTTATTTTATTTTATAAGCTACACTAAATTATTGAACCCATTGAAACCCCAATATTGTAATTTTTAGCAATGATCTTTTATAGTGTTATTTACAGTATCAGTACGTTGGTTGTTGAGACTGATCAAGTTCTATAAATATTATTAAACACCGGTGTTGATTCTGATATGTGAATTTATTGTTTCATCTGTAAATCATATCTATATTAAACATGGCTACTCACAGCTCTTCACATGGTCACTGAGTTCTTCCTTATAAAATAAACTTTAAAACAAGACCGGGTAAACAGTCAGTCTTTATTATAAAAGGTCACACGGGAATCTGGTAGGCATCCATATACAAATGTACTAAAACCTTGTGGCTAATAATGAGAAGATTCGTACATGCATACATATTGTCAGTTCGTACCTAGTATGGAGAGAATTCGATCCAAATCTTGCTGGTATCCAGACACATTTGGAAATCGATTAATACAATGCGTGTAATTCAGAACATATTCTCTTAATATAATCTGGATGATTTTATGGGCTTTTATCTGCTGGAGCCATCAGAATTACCCAGAGTTTTACGACTTCCATTTGAAGCTGATGTTCTTTTTACGAAACTAAGCTAGGTGAACATGTTTTTACATCAAGAAAGGGTAAAAGCTAAAATATGCAATGATACATCAATCGATAACGTAATAATCTTATAAAATAATTCTCCGCGTTCCCGGAAGAATTAATGAAATACTGAATACTTATTCATTGTCTGAACTGAAATACGATCACTTTGTCTTTAATCAAAAACGGAATACAAGTCCTAGAGTATCCACGGGATACTGCTACACGAGTGATACATAAAACAGCCTGAAATATCCAGATTTATGTATTTACAAGACTGCACTCGTAATGACGGACTCGCTTGAATAGTTCATTAATGCCAGCATTAATTAGATACCATTAGTTAATTATAGGGTATACAGTTACACTTTTAGTTATATAGCCTCGTCACGAGCTTTACCAATATATAAATCAAACCATTGGAAACGGCAAAAACCTGCCCCGCGGCCATCTTAGATTGGTGCAAAAATCTATTAATTATACATGTTGAATGATTTGGATTCACGTGCGTATTGAATTCAGTATGAAGTAAGATTATACGTGTTCAAGCATATATACACGTGTATAATAGTTTGACATGTATGACAATAGAGATGATGTATTAGGACCCGTACCTCTGTCGAGATGCATTCCATGTATTTGACCATCTCGTTTCTTTCATTTAATATAGCTTTGACCATACGAACATCTACTCAGCTTGCACATTTTTAATCTAAAAACTATGACAACAAGGAAGTAATAATTTAGTATCGATTAAAAGAAGTTCATTATATTAGAACAACCCATATACTTTTCTTTATTCGGTGCATATTTCATGCTTACCCAAAGAATCGTTTCACGTAAGTACAATATAGAGGTGTATAGTAAAATGTTCGATTTGTGTGTACGCAAGTCCTACATTATTATGCCCCATCAAATGGGACGCTGCTACCTAAATCTAAAATCGTAAAAGTTTCCATACATTATTTTTAATGTTTTCTTTTTCTGTTTTTTTAGAAGCACCGGTATATGAATGACGACTTATAGCCTTGAATCTTCCAAAAATGGATCTGACTAACCTGTTTCTGGGCGTGGCTCTTATGTTAACCCCAGTGTGTGGAGATATATTGTACACTTTGTTAGAAGAAAGACCAACTGGATTTTACATCGGCAAAATATCCGACAAGGCAGATCTTCAATCCACGGTGACCGAAACAGCATTGATTACGTTGCGTTACAGCTTCTTGACGCAAGGTTACCCCCAAAGCAAATTCTTCAACTTAACGAAGGACGGACAGTTATATACGGCCGTAAAACTGGACAGGGAGGACGTTTGTGGGTTCTCAGACACGTGTGTCCTGGAGACAGAAATCGCGATACAGTCGACCATTAATCAGTTCTTTCGGAAGGAGAAGCTGAAAGTCACGCTAGAAGATATAAACGACAACGCACCAACCTTCAACAAGGATTCTCTCACATTGGAAATATCGGAAGCCGTGTCCGTTAATTCTTCGTTTATCCTTGAAAGTGCACTGGACCGCGACGTCGGTAATAATTCACTCCAAGGTTACGATTTGATATCAGATTCCAATATTTTCGATTTAAAAGTCGTCAAAAATCTTGATGGAGGTACCGTGGTCAGTCTGGTCGTACTTAGTTCTTTAGACCACGAAGTGCGGGATTTATATACGTTGACCGTTGTGGCGCGAGACGGAGGAGTAAGTCCTAGAAAAGCTGAACTTAAAGTAATAGTCTCAGTCCTTGATATTAACGATAACCCACCAGTCTTCGACCCACAGGCCTATAACATTACAGTAAAAGAAAGTACGCCCATAGGCGAAACTGTTGTCCAAGTGACTGCTACTGATCTAGATGCTAAACTGAATGGGGTGGCCTATTATCGTTTTAGTCCTTTGGTGCCAAGCGAAGTACTACATTATTTTGCCTTGAATGAATCCACAGGAGAAATAACAGTATTTCAGTCGTTGCATCCGGTCCAGGGGCAGATAATGCGTTTTATTGTCGAATGTGTCGACGGTGGGTCACCTCCCCTGGTGGCCCAAACTGAAGTCATCATCAGTATTGAAGATTCCACCAACACCTCTCCGACCATCAATTTAAATCTTTTTGCTGACGGCAAGGTGTCCGAATTTGCTCAACCAGGTACAACTGTTGCCCACGTGGCCGTTTTAGATCCGGACTCCTCTAAAAATGGCATCATTCGTTGTTTCATTATTAGTGACGCTTTTGAAATTCAAGGATTAGAACAGAACGATTATAAAATTGTGGTCTCGCGAACATTGGACAGAGAAAAGGCACAATTTCATCGGGTTGTTTTGACTTGCGAAGATGCGGGAAACCCTCCACTGAATGACACCAAGGTGTTTAGCATCGCCGTTCTGGATGAAAATGACAATGCGCCATTTTTTAAACAGTTCGACTACCTTGGCAATATCACGGAAAATGCAGAACCAGGAGAAGTCATGGCCAAAGTAGAAGCTGTAGACATTGACGATGGAGAAAATTCTAAGATTTATTATTACATACCGCTAGGAGATGAATACGGGGTGAAAATTAGACAAAGTGGTGAAATTATATCAGACAAAACCTTTGATCGAGAGAGAACACCTAAGTTAAAGTTTAAAGTGTTTGCGACTGATCATGGACGACCTTCCCGAAACTCAAGCTGTACTGTCACTATTATAGTAACAGACGTCAATGACGTCATACCTACATTTAGCCAATCAAGGTACATGTTTAAAGCTAAAGAAAATCAAGAATCGGGAGTTGTAATTGGACGATTAGAGGCAGAAGATGCCGATGAAGGATTAAATAGTGAAATTCTTTACAATATACAACTGTTGTTTGATGAATTGGAATATTACCCAATCAAAGTTACAACCGATGGTTTTATCCAAACCGCGTTTTCACTTGATAGAGAAATAAAGTCAAGGTACGAATTTGTTGTCGTTGCTTCTGACAGGGGGTCACAATCGTTGTCTTCCTCAACCGAGGTCATCATTGAAGTAACAGATCAAAACGATCATGCGCCATTGATAGTCTCGCCAAGCTCCATGAACCATTCCATGATTGTGCCTTACCACATGCACACCGATTATGCCTTATTCACAGTATTAGCCAAAGATGAAGACGTGGATGAAAATGCCCACTTAGAATTTATTTTAAAACCAGAAAATGGCCATGACATTTTTAAGATCGATTCGGTAACTGGTGTTATCAGATTATCTCGATTTTTAGACGGAAATGACGTCGGAACTTACCAACTATACGCCATTGTTCGGGACATGGGAACGCCATCTTTGAACACTTCCGTTGACTTTAATATTACTGTTTATAAATCCAACGAAACCAACACCTACTTGAAACAGGGGTTGGGTTCGGAAGAGAATACGATGGTCGTGCTAATCCTGGGAAGTGTTACAGGTATAATCGTGGTTGTTGTTGTCATCGTCATCCTTATTATCAGGCGTTCTGATCAGGTGAACAAAAAGTTTTTTCAAGCAAACGTCATCACCCACATTGAACCATGTAATCTACAGCTAGATTGTTCTATGGACGACCTTGTAGATCACCGAAGAATGTCAAAAGCGGATTCCAACAGCTGGGACAAGAGATCGAATATATTTCCTGGCTCAGATGACCTGGTGTCCTTGTCTGAAGTCGAGATCGAACAGTCAACCAAAGTAAGTAAAATCTTTATGTTAAAGCACAATAAAAGAGGACGTTTTACAGTCCTGGGATTGTAATTAAAATTTACAAATATAAATTTCAGAACACGTATGTAATATAACAATGAAATAGAAGTGAACTAATATTCCAATATATACTCCATAAACATCTGTGCACTTGCTAAGCTAATTAATTAAGAATGAATATCTTGCAGGAAACTGCTGGTTTATTTTAGTAAAACGCTGTTTCCTTTTTTTTAAATCTCTATAAATGTTATAAGGCAATCAATAACAATGAAACGTTGGGTGGGGGTAGATAAAAATTATAGGATATACAAATGGAATCGAAACAAAGCTTATAAAAGTTCAATTTTTAGTATATTAAAACTCGCACGTTGTCAGTTTTCAATTGTGTTTTCATATCCGACATCCTCTCAATTTTCACATACCAATGATTGTTGGGGGAGATGAAACGTCATGGTTTTGTTTAGTTTATAAATATGTATTGTATATGAATAAAGAATAATGAACTACGTACCGGAGTACAACAATTATTGAACATGAAGGCAATGTGTTAGATGTGACCCATACACACACGACTTCTGGGAGACGCGGAGGAATATTTACACAGGAACAAAGTGCTTTAAGTAAATATCAATACGCGACTAATGCAACGAAAACACCTTTTTTATTTAAAGTTGTGAAAAATGATGACCGAGGCTAAGGGCCAGCTTCAGTTTAATCACTGTCCAACTACGTGTATTATATTCATATACAAACGCTTCGGGCATGTTTTGCTAACGCTTTCATTTTTTCTCCTGATTCTATCTAAGAGAATAAACGAAACCCCCCTGGTTCAATTGTTGATCAATTTTCATAAAGTGGTTGACCCTAACAGGAAAGACGCCGTGAAACCTTTTGAAAATGTCGGCACCTTTATGCATTTCAAAATGCCACAAACAATATTCTATTATTACAACTTTCCGTCTTTTTCGTAATAGGCGGATATGAAATTGAAAAGCTAGATCCCGTAGCCCTCAATTCCTTTACGCGGTTGCTCAGAACTGTTGTGTATAGTTGATCCAATAGGAGTCATTAAAGATGAGAGATATATCCCTTAATCAGAAAAAAGCTATAAATCCAAGATTCTTGATTACTGTAAAAAAAAATCAACGTTTTATGAAATCTTTTAAATTTTGAATATGCTATGTAGAATATACGTGTATAAAATAAAATGAAATGATATGGGGCTTAACGTCCTACTGTTCTGCTCCGACTGGGCTAATGAAGACGGACATACGCCATGCAGTGTGCTATGAGGGAAATTTTGCTACGGACTCCTCTTATATCAAATTCCAACTGCCACGAGATCTTTTAAGTGGACGCTAATGTATACACTTGACCTTATTTTTTCGTCCTATCCCCTTGTCAGGCCACTCGTCTCCCACCGATGAATTTTCTCGGCCAACACCGGGAGCGGACCCGCGACCAACAGGCTAGCGAGCCAGCGTCTTACTCACTTAGCCACCGTAGCTCCTACATATGTATAACACATCTTTCCTTGTCGGTCACCTTTTGCAATATTTTGGGCGATATTGACGCGCTTGTCGGTTCTTGGCTGTGATAAGTAAGAGCCATTGATAGAACACACCGTTTTGTACCAATTCTTAACATCTTTTATGGAAAACCATTTTAAAAAGAAAAAATATATGTTTAAGAAATGAGGTCATTGGTGTGTCGTCAGCTATGGAGATTATAAAAAAGGGGAAAGTAAACAAAATTGTCATTAAATATTCTAGTTATCAATTTACTCAAACTGTAAAATTTGACAGAAATAAGATAATCAAAAAGCGAAACAGTAGTTTTCAATATCAATGCTATTTGTCTTCAAGACACGAGAACATAATATTTATAAATTGAAACTTTTGTTATGATTTTCTTATTCTCTTTTAAATTTCCGAGATAACGTTTGAAAGGGTATTTTTCATGGACGTTTTACGATGACATTTTCAAAATAAGAGGCGTGTCGAGATTTCAAAGATAGATCGCTATTGTGATTGGAACAACTTAAAATTAAGCCGGGTGTTGACTGAGACTAATGTCAATCGGGAGTCTATGTAAAATGATTCCTTAAAGAATAGAAACTGTTACCATAGAGTCTAAAGGACCGGGTATTAGCTTTGAATAAAGATGCCGATTTATCTGACGGCGATGTATCTACTTTAAAACCCTTAAATGCGGAAATATATTGTTAATCACGGGCGGAGATCGCCCAGATCTGACCAATAACTATAGACTTTAGAAATTATCTCTGACACTGAGGCGTGACATGGCAATCTAGTTAACGAAACCTATACTTATTTAGGGTTACACCACTAACTACTCTGTTATTAAATAGGGTGCTCGGGGCCGAGTTTTTGTCAAACAAACGTGACCTTCATCGTGGGTCGATTTTCTGGAAAGCTCTTCAAAATCCGATTTCAAGTCCTCGATGAAAGGGAGAATTTTTCGGTGGTTAAATTATTTTCTGCGGATGACTGAATTTTTATCATCAATATTTTGCCTCTGTTGGCAAAATTTGCCACACGAGTAAGTCAAAATATCTAATTACCTTAAACACCCTGGGGTAGACTTTAAGTAGCTTTGTAAATACATTTAACACCTTGGAAGAAAAAGACAAAAGCATTTTTCTGCTACAAAGCTCCCTTTAAAGATGCACAAAGGTGAATCGGTTATGGCCGGAATTTCGAGTGTATGATTTATAATGAATAAGTTATCGGCGGTCTCTTTAACACAAATTATTCTTATCCACATTTTGATCGATTGATTTCAAATATTCCATAATATAAATGAATTTTCCATAAGCGGAAAATTTGTTATGAGTTCAGTGAAATGACCCGTCTATTAATTGACATATCACATTAATTATCTTCAATATATACAGCTATATAATGATTTATATTGTCCATTTTGTTAGAAATAAATTGTGAAAATTTTCAATAAAAATACAAATCAATTATGGATACATTAAAAGTTTCGGATTCAATTAAAACAAAATGGGATTATGTTAGGTCAATAGGTTACGAAAATGAAATACCAAACATCTATGCTTCGGTTTATGTTTAAATATACACGTTGAAATTTTTGGACCATAAATGCTAAAACTGAACCACAATAGTGCAGATTTGGGTCACGTTTATGATAGAAACATAGGGTTTGGAATCAGTTCATAGATGTTCAGGATTTCATTTCGTAACCTACTGGCCTACCTTAATGATTTTGGGTTGTTACATGGATTTTAAATATTAAGACAGAGATTTAAGATATTGAACCACATAGACAAACGGGACCCTTTTCCCGAAAAATCTTTGGTAACTGTCCAGATCTTTGGACACATTGAGAAGGAATTCAGTCATTAAAGTTTAAAACACATGTGTTGTTAATGTTTAAAGCAATCTTAGTTGAAACAGAATTCCGGGCTGATTATAAACATATGGAATGGGTTTAATATTCCTCTGTGTACCACAATAATTTGTAAAGAGATGGTATATTAATGGCAGATACGATTGTATTAATACACAACGTTCAATTTTCACACTTCTTGTATCAATACACAACGCTTAATTTTCACACTTCTTGTGCAAAGTGCAATCATTGGTGGTTGACAAAATCATCGCTTCCAAAACAAACTCAACAACCGAAACGCAATTAACAGTAATCGATCTTTGGTATACAGATCTATGTATTGTCTGGCAAGTGTTAAAAACTTGTTAATCTGCTCCACAAACAATTACCGGAACGAAATTGATCAAATCAAGTAATGTGTAACTCGCATTGACTTGTTTTAACAGCCGCATCAAACATACACAAAAGAAACGAAACGAATTGATGAAATCAAATAAATGCTAAGAATAATTAAATACAGAATAGAGTAATTGATGATGTGTTAAAATCTCTTTTGTTTGGTCAGATTAAACTGTTTTTAAAGGTGTCTTCAGTGACACCTGGTCTTCGGGGATTTCCCTTAGAAATAACCCTTGTTTATAATGATGTTTGGTTAAAATGTCGCCTGAACCCGAGGCATGTTATTATAAAGAGTTGGTATTATTTATGTTACACATGTAATAAGTAGTTAGAAATACAATTCACTACTATTTGAAATTAAAACAGAATCAGTCATTGAAAGATGGACTTATATGTCAAAATGTATTTTTTTAAAAACATGGCGGATTTATACAGGTCTGGAATGGTTCATTTCCAAATATAGGCACGTAACTTTCAAAACAGCAAGGCATTCAAAAAATTGGCGTTGGCTTTACGTCTAGTTATATCAGCTAATTATGAATCGATACATCGTTTAGTGTTATATATGAAGTGTGAAATATAAATAAACCACACAAACAACAGACATTCCATTTCTAAAAATCTTTACTTATTGCAAGAATTTTTGCTTTATGAAGTTTTTGTCAGCTAATATATTAATGTAACGTTAGACAAAAGGTAATTATGTGTTTTAAACGAATCATTATTCATGCTATCTATACCTGTTATGTTACAGAATCGTGAAAATGTACAAGGTGCTTGGAATGAAGCCATGAAGAAACACGAAGCTTTACTTAAATCATACGGTCTACCAACAAAGGTAAATCACCCGCATCTCTCTATTTCAGTACACCCTTTTCAACATGCAGTATTATCTATCAGAATACCTTTATGGTTATTGAATAACTCCATTCTATTCACGGGGGTGCAAATAAAACTCTGCAAATTGTTTTGATGTAACTTATTGTTCAATGTCATCAAGGGTTTAATATTAATATGCGGTCTGTTAATGGGTCAAGTGTCGCTTTCTCCGGGTCCTCCTGTTTCCTCCCAATGCTAAAGATCCCTACGAGCATGTGAATTATTTAAATATAACTGTACCCTATGTTGGTCCCGAAATGACTAATTTGTGCCAAGTAGACGTAAAAACCCATCTATCCCTCCCTGAAGCGGACTGTAATAAAATGTCTCACTTTCAGAATTAACTATCAAAAATTTGTACTCTTCTACACGTGCATCGTCATTTGTTATATGTTTCTGAATTTTAGGTCTCGATACGCCGTGGCGTAACACCAGTTCCGGTCAGCCAGCAGGAAGAAACAGGAAGTCATACGTCAGCAGATACTAGTACCAGTGATAGTGGTCGGGGAGGAAGTGATGACGAGGGCAACAATTTAAATAGATCTAATCTAGGTAAGAGAGAGAGAGAGAGAGAGAGAGAGAGAATGAGAGAGACAGAGAGAAATGGGGTTTAACGTCTACTCGACACAGACTAGGCCATTTCGGGACTAACACGTGGTTCAAATTTATTGCAATAATTCGCTTGCGCATAGTGTCTTTAGCAGTGGGAGGAAACCGGTGACCCGAAGAAACCCCACGAGGTTGGACAGGCGACCCTACTTCTTGTACGTACAACCGCCAGTTGACTCCATGACAGACCTTATGATACAGCGCGCACGTGCTTACCATTCGGTCATCCACCCCCTAATCTAGGTTAGAAGGATATAAACTAGGACAATAATAAATCAAATAACTTTAACATAACTGGTTATTATGAATAATGTTCAACCTAGCCTAAATTAAGCCCACTAATATTTTTTATCCAATTGCGTCATGAATTATGATTGTGATTGCAAGATGTTTTGGATGATTTACGGTGATATACTGTTCTATTTTGGTATACGTGTTCTCTTTGAATATTTGGCATGGGTCTTTTTCTAATGCTCTTTTGTTCAATAGCTATACAGAACATATATTCTACTTTGAATATGAAGTTAGGTCTACGGATATGAAGTAACTCATAAGTAAAAAGAAAGTAACATTATTTGCTCAGATGTACATGTTTCCAATCTACTATTAATATATTTTTAATCTATTCTTATGTTTTTCAGAAAATGGCCCCGATGTGAATCAAACAGCCGTTAAAAAGTTGGTAGCCAGCGATTCATTGTTGACGTGTGCTACGCCCAACCGGCGCGTGTCCGATGGACTAGGATTCGATTCAGGTTATCAGCCGTCCACGGTGTTGAGGAACCCATACACCAATATGGACATAAACAATAGTTTTACTAAACGTGTTAAATTTAACCTTGCGGAAAATAAACCGTGGCTGACTACACCTACCGGAAACGACCTTGCTTTAGCTCGCCATCGTTGCCATGGTAATCTGACAGACGCTCAAGACCAGGAAGAGTCATGTGACTCGGAAGTGGATAGTATTATATCGGATGTTCACGTGACTACTAATGGAAAATTCGACTTGCAGAGACAAAAAACAGAAGACGTGTATGTGTAGTATTGCTCATAAATTATTTATAAAAATCTATTGACGTTTCCAACGATTCCGACCACAGACAATTTTAATGTGAAACGGGGGAAAAACGAGGCTTTATTAGTGCTTTCATATTGATTGTTTAATACCCATAAATGATTGATTTGATTCAATTTGAATAATACCGAATTAAATAAAAACAACATTATACCAAAGAAAATTAATTTATCAGCGTTTAGGTATTTGTTTTAAGGAGCAGTGCCTGGATTAAGAGGTTGTCCGTTGATATAGGTGGGTTTAAGTGGATACAAATCAAACGTCAAAATGTCCCGAATACCGCGTCTGAAAGTTTCAGTTTCGAAAAAAGAGCTGTTTAAAATTTTCTTAACTTTTTAGGAATTACTCGGTTTTTAGTGATTTAAAATTTGTCACGGTCGCTTTGCCATTATAATGTAGGCAAATGTGACTACATGTTTATACCATGTGATAACGTGAACCTTTACGGAAACGGACAGTCTGTATTTCTTTGAAGGCTTATGTACAGAGAATTAAAAGACATGTTTGGGACGGCTTCTTTAAAGATGGGTTTGGGGTGGCTTTCTAAAGAATAGTTATATATTTATTAATTGTATATTTTACAAATGAATACTTCCATGTGCGTCTAGTCAATCAAATATTCTCATTTTGTGATCATCGTTTTGTGTTGTTTGAATCTTTATTGCTAAACACATGTTTGTGAAAACCTAAAATGTAACTGTATGCTGTTGTATATTGAACATGTTGTTGTATATTGAACATGTTGTTGTATATTGAACATATTGAACATGTTGTTGTATATTGAACATGTTGTTGTATATTGAACATGTAATTATTTTGAACACATGAACTGATTGATTTGTTTTTTAAAAAAACTAATTTTAAATGTTGTGTCTTTAATTTATTTGCTTACCTTTACTTAATGAAATGAACAGGGCTTTTATAACTGAACTAGGTCAAAAATAAACATTGTTGATTTGATTACAGTTTATGTGATGATTGTTTTGTAAAGTGTGGGCGTCCAAACCTTTAAGTCCGCAGATGAAGCCAATGTTCAGATATAACAGAGTATATATTCATTTTGAAAGTTCAGTTCAAAAATGAGACTGAACAGAACGACTACCCCAGAATGTAACGTATATCGCTTGCCCTATCTCTTTAACGGGAAAACCAACGGTTTTTAACAAGGTTTCCATAAATTATAAATTCACATTCAGAAATAATCCCCTATGTAACACAAGCAAAAAGTTTTTGTAAGCGAGAATTTTTTTTATTAAAACCGGAAGTGACGCAATTTTTTTTCAATAATTTGCTTGTAGGGGTCGTTTGCAGTGAGTGGGAAGAACTGATGATCCGGGGAAAACGCCACAAGCTTGGCATCGAAGCCGCGCTAATGTCAGGTCTTGTGATCTACAGAGCACACTAGACCACTCACCCACGCACCGAGGCCCAGTCCGCCCCTGCCTCCAGTCGAAGAAGAAGACATAATCTTTCACCACTACCATAGAAACTCTAGTAGGACCAATTAAACCTAAATATAGCTATATAGCTATTTTTTTGGCTTCCAACTAGAGCATTGGCTGCAAATCCTGAGTGTTTAGAAATTTGAAAAATGATCAAACGAAATTCATAAATATATGTCCAGAATCAGCATTCCCAATACCAGTACATTAGTGAGATACGTTTGATTTATAGAGGCAGTTTCTGATATTGGTTCGCACCAGATGTAAATTGTCTCCCGAAGTTCATCCGCCATATTGAATTTGTCATAGCGGGTATCTGTCAGCTGCCCGAGCATCTCATCATAACAGATTCCTGAAATTTATCCTGTAAATTACCTAATCTGACAGCTGATGTAAACATGTCAGTAGTTGACCTATTTTGTTTACGCCAATGTATACATGCACATCTTTTGGAGGGGTAAATTATCCCGACCACTGTTTACATTCGCATGCGCTGTGAAGCAGAAGTTTTCGATGCGATCTGAAAAGCGTACCTTAAAAAATCTAAATTCGCCTTTGAAAACGACCCAGACATCAAACTGTTTACACGTTTAAATCTATTTAACCTTCACATTCTGTTAACAAACTTTATCTTCAAATCTTTTGTAGTATTTTTTATTGCTAAACATCCTCCCGCGGCTGTCTAATTGGAAATCTAAATCAGTGCTAATCAGAGGAACGGAAATAATAATTATGGGAAATTTTGAAACCGAAAATAATCAAAATAGAATTCAACCCGTGAGAATAGATTATACACCACTATTTAGAAATAAATGAAAACGTTAAAAAACAAAAGGATGTAAAAAATATAGTAAAGGTTCTCTCAGGAAGTTAATCGAACAAAAGGAAATGTCTGCTTATTAAACATAGAACAGCACAATGTCAACTCAAATGCCAAAATGAATAGCAACGCCCTCGACAACGAAATAAAATTTTAATAATACTCACAGAATATGGAGGTGTTATAAGTGGCTTTGTAACGGTTTGTTTTTGTTTTTTTTTAAATTTCCATCAAGCAGTTTATCTCCCTTAATTTTCGGAGAGCCAAGAAACAAAGTTATTAGAAGGTACCCCTGCGTCAATCAGATAACACCTGTGCATTTCCACGTAAGTAATACTTCAGAAGCTATGTAAAGATAAAAATACTCTCGAAAGTATACATTACAATTAGGCTACTAACCAGATCTGGTTTTCAAAACTTAGAGAGCAAACTTTATTGATAAAGGCTGTTAAACATTAAATAATTCAAATTCAAATAAACATCTAAAAAAATGTCTTTAATGGGTGCCCATAGATGTAGTCAAGTTTTCGAAAAATCGTACCAAAAATTCTGAATCATACAGGTGTGACCGATTTGTGTAAATTCCTTTATAACAAACCTATGTTTTTTGTAATATAATCCCTTTTATCCATAGGGAAATTAAAGAAAAACACTACATAAGATAGGTGTATCACTTGAACGTTTAATTAAAATTAGTAGTCAATAAAGAGAACAATATTAAGGATTAGCCGGAATGTATTATAACCCACTTCAATCTGTCATTCAGATTTATTGGTATTTTTAGATAGGTAAAATGGGTAGTAAACCATATATCTACATATTCCGTTAAAAATACACTGTGAAATAACCTATCTTAAATTCAACACTTTAGATAGGTAAAACGGGTAGTAAACTATATATCTACATATACCGTTAAACATACACTGTGAAATCACCTATTTTAAATTCAACACTTGCACTGATTCTAATTTGTGTCACTACTCATATGAATGAATGACGAAACATATTCTGCCTTGTGCATGCCACACATCAACTAGTGTGTACTGTGATGAGTCGGCAATGGTATTGAAATGGACATTTTTTCGTACAAAATATTTGTGGAATAAGTTGGTGTGGATAACATAATATTGCGCAAGTGTCTAGTCGTTCCGATGTGACGTAAAACCTAGGTCCCTTTTCCACTTTGATGTGTACGTAAAAGAACCCGTGAAAAACTTCCCTCCAGTCACACTCTATGGTGAATACCCGTCTTCATTCGCCAGTTGATACAGACCATATTTCATTCATACATTCTACAATAATGTGAACAGATTGAAATGAAATGAAATGGGGTTTAACGTCATATTGTTCTGCTCCGAACTGGGTTAATGAAGACGGGCATACGCCATACAGTGTGCTTTGAGGGAAATTTTGCCCGGACAGCCTCACTACGGCCTACTCTTATATTGAATTCCAACTATCAAATGAATCTTTTACGTGTACGCCAATATTGGCACGGAACCTCGGTGTTTCGTCCCATCCGAACAACTAGACAGCTGTCCTTGTCAGGCCCTCCGTCCTGCATCACTGACAAGTGGGACCCATGCCCGAAAATCTGGCTGAACTTTCTCGGCCAATGCAGGGATTGAACACGCGACCTCCAATCTAGCGAGCCAGCGTCTTCCCCACTTAGCAACCGTGACCCCCTGTATACGGATTTGAATATAGCCAGCATAAATAATGCAATATAGTAAGGTAGATGGTGTAAAAAATCCAAAAATGGGATTTAACGACCTATCGTTCTACTCCGACTTGGCTAATGAAGACGGAAATTCCAAAAACAGAAAAGTGAAATATGGAACACAGCAACACGATCGATTTCAACAGTTTTATTTTATAGTGTAATTGAGTATACAGTCCCATCACAGCTGTGCTCGTAAGGGGTAGTAATTGAAAAAAGTAAGCTCTCATTACAAGATATTCATTTCGTCCGTTTCACGGCTTATCGATAAATATAAAGTGTTTTAAGGGGTTGGTCCATAGTACTAGGTGTAGATTGAAGCCTCGTTGACACGTTTTTACCTATATGTAAGTTTAGTAAGTACTTGTATTAATACAATATACTAACACTATAGTACACCCACATACCCTATAATATAATGTTATATAGTACTTATTTACTATATACCTACATAAGGTTATATAGGATCTACTTATACCAGCCTCTCGACTTCTAGGGATTGTCCATAATGTCTTGATGAAAATAGAAAGTGAGGGGAAATAAGTTAACGAACTGACTGGGTTGGGGTGAAGCATCTCGTCAACACAATACATCGATACTTTTGAAACCCTCATTAAATATTTCTAACCGAAGGAGTGATCTCTCTTGCCAAATTATACTGCGAACCCGTTTCTGCAATGTAAACTTATGATATTAGAGTTTCGTAAATGGTTCCAGACCTATAGGATTAATACCATTATGACATACAAATACCAAGACACATTTTCCCTTCCTACCCCAAAGACCTTACCCTGATAAATGGAAACTCGAGCTTGCAAAATCGCGAATGTTCTTTCTGATCAAAATACAGTTCTATTTTCGTTTCGTTTTTTTTATGATTAAGACATATAAACGAAGTTTAAACAATAATAATAAAAAGAAACGAAATGCTATCTTAAACTTAAAACTACAGCAGCTCCTTAATCTCTCAAGAACATCCTGTTTTAGATTAATCGATAATCGCTGTTAAAGTAGCCAAAGAAATGATCTCAAATAAGTAGAGTAGTTTAAACATATATATGATTTATATATGTTTTACAACAATTTAAAATACTGATGATGAATAAAAATATAGAAATTTTAAAATGTTTAGGAGCTTTTGTATACAATTCGTTCATGTCTTTGTAAAGTTGTGTATCTTTGTATAATTATGTCCATGTATGTATCCTTTGTTTGTTTCATGTATATTTCTATTATTTTATTTGTATATGCACATAACCTTGTTAGGTTTTTATGCAATAAAGTTTCTTCTTCTATATATTTCAGACTACGCGCGTTTAAAATATCTACAACATTTTCAAAGATAAATTCCTGCATGCGTATCTAAACATGCTTTCTTTTTAAAATACACCAGTGTTGTCTATTCGACACATCGTAAAATCACGAAGATTGCTGTCTCATCACATTAAGATTCGAACTCGGAATATTGTAATCGATAGTCTAGTTACCTAACCTCTCATATCCTTTCTCGTGAACGACACCTATTGTAAATAAATGGAATTTTTCCGTTCATATGAGTTATGTAAATATAATTTAATGTACATTTCAAATACACTTTTTATGGGTTATGGATATGTTTAGCAATTTTTATGGATATTCAAGCATATTTTATTATGTTCTTCCAGGCATATTCTCTCATTATCTGTGCCTCTTTCATCGGGTAGTGTAATATAGAGTACACTCATGTAATAATATCTTCTGTAACCATAGAAAATATGTATTTTACATATCATAAAGCCCGAGTCTTTCATCGCTGCGATATTAACCCTATAACCTCCAGACAACATCGAGTTCAGATATTCTGAGAAGTTTTTAAGAATCCAGCTAGTAAAGTAATTATCACCCCATTGTCTTACAAAATGAGTTGCCTTGTAAAGGAAGACTATTTCAAGACCGGGTAT